CAGTCTTAGCCAGGTTCCAGTCAGCTGGGAGCTCCCCAGATACCCAAGACTGTTCAAAAATAATTGAGAGAGGCCTTGCAATGATATCAAACAGCTCTTAGAGTATTCTTGGATGAATGCCATCATAAAGCCAGATAGATACATGAGGATCCAGCTGGAGCAGCAGATCCCACACAAATTTGGGGTCAACTGGAAGTTTATCATTCTCCCTGCCATGGTCCTCCAGCTCTGGGCACTGGGGCCTTCTGGGCTCATCACCAGTGTGAAAGACACAGGCAAAGAAATCATTAAACATGTCACATGTGTCATGCCATGTAAGTGCACAATACATGCACGATATCAGACTCAGAATGGAAGTTAATATAAATTACTCTATCAAAAATGTGGTTTGTAGTCTTTCGAACTGTGCTTTGCCACATGTATGTGAGAGGGATATGTAGAGCTGCTTGGAGTTCTTTGTAATTTAAATGAACATATTCCTAAACTCCTGAGGTGACTGTGCTTCTCCTGGTACTGAAGCTATCCCTGTTGTCTCTGCATAGTTTTGTATTTTTCTGTTCAAGTCCTTGACTTTGAATATGAGTCCATGTTTCTAGATATTGAAGTCCTTGTTTTAGTTGCTGTTAATAAGTGTCGATAGATGGGCAGACGCAGCTGAACTCCCAGAATGGAATCCAAAACCCCTTGAATGCTTTCCACTACTATAAGTCAGGGAATATGAATGTCATTGGTGTCCTCTGTGGACTGCTCCTCTTTTTGGATGACTTAGAAATCTTGCCATTTCTCAAGCTGTAAACTCTTGAATAGTAATGCTGCTCTAGCAGGGGTTTGTTTGTTGGTTCACAGCAAAGCAAATGCAGGAAGGAAAGCTGTATTGGAGCTCTGGTCTCTAAAAGTATTTTTACCTAACCACCTTTGGTTAGTTTGGACCTTCGTGTTTACTGTATTGCTGTGGAAAGCAGAGTGTTCTATCTTCTGTGCACTGTGTCTTCTGAGCACACAAGACCTTCAAAAATTTGTCTCCTCATTTAGAAAGAATCTTTGAAGTAAAAGTCCTGGCTTTCTACAGCATCTTTATATATAAGATTGGGGTAAATATAGCTGTTTTCTATGAGTGCCAGAGATAATGGCTGTTTAGCTCCTTACTAATCCAAACCTCAGCAAAACAGAAAGGAGGCTTCGAAAAGAAGTTTCTATTCTACAGCTAGGTTGGAAGTTTGTCTTTTGAGGTACTTTGCTCCAGTTATGGCTCCAGTATATTCTAGTGGCTGGAGCAATTCTATTCATTGAAAAGAAGCCATGGAACAGAAATGTTTGTATGTCTCCATGATATCACTTTGTGTGTGAAACCACCAAATAACAGGATTGTGGGGCCAAAGTGTGCACACAGGTCGGGCACACTACTCTGTACTCACCAGTAGCCCAAATACTGATGCTCTGCGTAGTTTAGAAGTATTTTTCTTAATGTTACAACATGTTGGGATCTGAAATCTAATCCTTGTAGGACAGTTTGATGTCATTTGCCTAAGGGTTTCTCCAGAAGAAATATGTGCATTGCTGTAGGAAGCAAAGGGTGTATTATATCAGTGATCTTTTAGTTTGTTCTCTGTATCCTGCTCATACTGGTTTTGAAATATTTGAATGATACTAATTTAGGAATGAAAGTAGTATCTTTGGTAAACTAATTATCTCAGCAAGATGACGCAAGTGTTTCCTTCAACTTTTTCTGGCCTTACCAACTTAAACAGCAACAAAAAGATTGGCTATGTTGGTCTCTGCTAACCCAGAGTAACTAATATAGAGTGGAAGGTTTGACAAGGCTATTCATTCTTCTCTCTCACCCTAGAAAATGTAAATTTCTATTCAGTGATGCACACAGGCTCTTTTGTGAAGAAATCAGTTTTAAGTATAAAGTGACATACTTCAAGCACACATTTGAGTTCTAAAGCTCTCTTACACAGTATTAGAGAAGGTTTTCAGAGTATAAATAAATAAACATTTACTGGAATAGTTAGAGTTTCTAATAATTTGGGACAAAAGGACAAATTATCTCATGGGCATTATTTCAGCTGTGGGACTGGTAGTTTCTTTAAAGGCACGGTAGTTAAGATCTTTTGTTTGACTAGCTACCTGAAAATATTTTTCTGCTTGACTATGACTAAAAAAGTGTGCTGTGAGTTAGGCATCTAAAGGGAAAAGATCCAGAGTAGCCCAAAAGCAGTTCCCAGGCAAGACATGGTAGTGGCAGCCTGAGTTGTCAGGTATGGCAGGAGGTAATATACTGTTGGCTTCCAGAGGGACCTACCAAGGTGTTTCCGGTTCGCTCTACAACCAGGAGTGTATTGGGTTACCCTACAGGTCCTACTTGAATGGCTTGTGACTTGTGTGCACATCAGGGTGTCTGGCATTTGATTTTGCTTCGTTTACGCTTGTGATCCAAACAGGTCTTCAGATGCACATTTGTACAAAGAGTTGCCTTTCCTCCCCATAGTAAATCCTGCCCTTTTTCTCTCAAGCCTGAACTGCTAGAAGTCAAAGGGAGCATGGGCATCCACAGACCAGCCCTGTCCCTTAGGCTTGTTTAGATCTGGGGACCTTTTCATAAGACACATTAAAACTGTAGTTCACATTGGGCATTTGGCAGAATGGCCAAGCTGGCCCCAAACACTGTGTCATGAATCTATGTACACTTGTCCACATAACTCATTTCCTTCTTCTTCCTACAGAGCTCTTTATTCTCGCCTTAGAATCATAACCAGAGAGTCATAAGGCTGGAAAACACCCTTAACATCATCAAGTCCACCACTAAACTACTTACCTAAGCTCCATTTCTCCACATCTTTTAAGTACCTCCACGGATGGGGGCTCAACTGCTTCCCTGGGCAGCCTGTTCCAATGCTTGACAAACATTTTGGTGAAAAAATTACTCTTAATACCCAGTCTAAACTTTCCCTGGCACAACTTGATGCCATTTCCTCTTGCCCTGTGTTTTGTTACTTGGGAAAAGAGGCCAATCCCCACCTGGCTACAGCCTCCTTTCAGAGAGTTGTAGAGAGTGATAAGGTCACCCCTGAGCCTCTTTTTTCTCCAGGCTAAACACCCCCATAGTCACTCCTCATAGAACTTGTGCTCCAGACCCTTCACCTACTCCATTGCCCTTCTCTGGACACACTCCAGCACCTCAGTGTCTTTTTTGCAGGGAGGCATCCAGACCTGGACACAGGATAGGATGGGTGCCCTCACCAGTTCCAAGTACAGAGGGGACAATCCCTGCCCTGGTCCTGCTGGCCACACTATTGCTGATACAGGCCAGGATGCCATCCACCTTCTTGGCTGCCTGGGCACAGCTGGCTCAGTTGGCTGTCAACCACATTTATAACTTACCTTTTGACCTATATTCAGAGCAAAATAAAAGTAAATTTTCTTTCTGTTTTTAAGAAGAACCTGTAGATGTAGATGCATTTTAGATACTTCATTTACAACTAAGAACTAAGGAATGTTTTTTGTGGTATCTGTTTATGTTTATATCATGCCGTGTTTTCCACATAAGCAAGCAGAGGCATAAGGATTCATATTGAAAGTATAATTGAAAATGCATTTCAGATGTTTCACCTCCTATCTTCTCTTTGTAGGAGATCTATCTCTCTTCAATAGTGCATTTGGTGGTTTGGACTGGCTTCCAAAGAACTACTTTGTAGAAGTGGTACTTAAATTGTGACTGCCTTAGATAGAGAGCAGCTGAAGCCGCTAAATAGGCTCTCTGCTTTTTCAGTCTGTGAATAGAAGAGGTCTCTTCATAGAGGTACAAATGTAGCAATGATAGATAAAATTTCTGCAAATAATATTCTACAAATTGTACAAATAATAGTTTTGTTCAGTGTAATGCAGGCCAAGATAAAGCTGTTTGTCAAAATTCTTGGTGTATTTTGGGTAATAGTGTATATGTATTATCCAGATCCAGCTTGCACGACTCTATTATACAAACTATTCCTGAAGAGGAGACTTTAATAATGGAAAGAATTGAATATTTATATTGATGATTAAGATTCAGATAAGTCCTTATTAAGATAAGTCCCTAGTGTATTGCATAGGGGAAAAGGACACTGAAAGCTATGTATTAAAAGCCCTTGCACTTGGAAGTAAGCAATCTATTAGGAAAGCAGCTTGGAAGGAAATTAATCTTTTGATAGGCAGCTTATATAATTGGAGGCTTCCTTACCTCTGAATTGCTGATATACCAGGGCTCCAATCTGATTTGGAAGTTTCTGATTTCCTAGAAGCATTGGGTCAGATGTTCAGTGTCTTCATTATAGATAAATTGAAAGAAATCTCTCCTAGGTAAGGCACTTCCATTAAGCAAGTGTCAGGTACAAAGGAAAACTTAATTTATGTTTGAATTTTGTTATAGGCAACTTGATCTTTACTGTGCCATACCAATTTGTTTATGGAGAGAGTTCAGCTTTTGAGAAGTTTTGGAAATGTAATGCAGAGCTGTTATTTCTCAGCCAACTTTCCAACTTTTTCAGTTCGGTTTTTTTTTGTTTCTGTCCCTGAAATCTATAGACAAGTTGTATTTTGAATACACATGCACAAAAAACTCCTGCAAACACAGGAATATTTTCTTTCTATAATAAATGTTATGTTATGCAATATTCATGCATTAAAAATGATCAAGAAAAGCATGGTGGAATAGTAGGGGGAGGGGGGCTTCACAGTATTTTGTGTCCTCTTTTACACCACATTGTGAGTTAGTGTTCTCCATTCAAATACTTACACTTTGGAAAACCCAAAGCTAGATGGAGAGCGTCATTGTATTTTACTGACAGCTGTGTTGGGCTTGATTTACCACATTACAGGAGGAACTATAGCAAAGCCTTGTGGTGATGACATGAGGAGGTGCAGAATTAGCACCTGTATCAGTTTTAATGCTGTTTGCAAAGAATATTAGTGGTTTTTTAAATTTGTTTTCTGTACCAATATTTTTCTTTACTTTTCAACAGGATCCACTCTGTGTAGCTATGAACTACAGCCATCAGAATATACAACAGACCCAAGGGCTGCCAAGTTATGTCCTAAATATCCTGTTCCAGAGAGGTAATATGATCAAGTTGTATGATTTGGGGGAGGGAGCAGAGATTTGTTTTGATCATGAACTTTAGAAAATACCAACACATGTTCACTCTTACCAGATAGGTGTTTTAGTGTATTATTGTATATATTTCTAAAATTCAGTTTTTAAAAGGTAGTGAAAATAATAGTCAAAGAAAAACTCAAATTATCTGTGTATGTGTTACTGAAACTATTTAATTGTTATCTCCAAATTCTCGTCTCATATGACAAACACTGTTCTAAGTATCAGCTGTTTTACTGCCTTTCACCCTATCTATAGCCAGCTGCCTATCAGCAATGCAGATCTGAGACAATCATGGAACATTTTTAATCTTTGGGAGAAAAAAATATGTAGGGATGCACAGCTCTCTGCAGCATTCACTTCTTATACCTTACGTCAGCCAGTCAGATAGATGCAAATTGCTTCATTTTTTACTCTTTCAGTCTGCAAATAACTAATATAGGGATAGTTCAATACCAAAAGGAGGGCTGTATTTTATTAACAGATAATTTTGAGGTTTATTTTTTTAAGTGTTACATTAGACTGCTGTTTGTTAAATAGGATTGGAAAGTTCATGGCTTCATGAACTCTTGTAGCTGTGCTGCCTGGACCTGTGGAGATGAGCATTGCTGAGAAAAGAAGTGATGTGTTAGTGTTGTTCGCAGCCTTCTATCAGTAGTTGCTCTAACTTAAGAAGAACCATGTTGTGTTTTCTCAAAATTTAGCTTCTCAAATATACTCAGTAGTGAGTGATAACTGCAGAGTCTTTTCTTATGCATAGTTTTCTGTTACGTTTTTTGTAAATATTTGTTCTAACAAACTTGTTCTACAAACTCTGATTTTAAGTCTTTCTTGTATATGTGGTAGCCTCTCCGCTGAACCTTTTTCTTTAATATTATAGTGACAATTAGTGGCAGCTGGCATATTAGCTTTTTAAAAAAATTTCCCAATATAGATTTATATTCCAGCTAGCCAGCTATTACTGCCATAATACAAAAACAAATGAAAACTTCAGTGCCAGCTTGCATACTGAAAAGACTTGTTAGTTCTAATTTTTGCCAGAATTATATTGACTTCTCATAGTGTGTTCTAACGTCATTCAATCTCAATAAACACAGCTTAGTAAGAAAACAGAAGGATAGAATAATGTATCAGAGCTCTAATGATGTTATGTAAATTCCTCATAAAAACAACCTTATGTTATTTTAAATAAACTATTGTGTAGGTGTAGTATTTTCCCTTTTTGATATAGTATCACTAAAATATATAATTCATTTGAGCATTTTTGAGAATGAAAAGTCTGAACTTAATGCCCTAAGGCAAAAAAGGCCAACATTGTATCTGTAAACAACTGGTTTTCAGGTTTTTATAGTTAAATTATTTGCGTAAATGTAATTTGAAGGAGAAATGTAATCCTGTTGAGACAACCAAATGAAAACCCAACATCTTGTAGACTGAGGCATTCAGGAAGAACTTACCTAACAGTCACATCTGATCTGTGTCATGGTTTAATGCCATCCAACAACCCAGACACCTACAGCCAATTGCTTGTTTCCCCATGAGCAGGACTGGCAAGAGAACTGGAAGGGTAAAAGGTAAAAAGCTTGTTGGTTGATATAAAGATGGTTTAATAAGGGAAGGAAAGCTTCACACATAAGCAAAGCAAAACAAGGAATTAATTAATTAATCACCTCCCAGGGGCAGGCAGGTGTTCAGCCATTCCAGGAGAGCAGGGCCCCATCACATGCAACAGTTATTTGGGAAGACAAACACCATCACTTCAAACGTGCCCTCCTTCCTCTTCTTTCCCCCTGTTTATATCCTGCACATGATGCCATGTTTGGATGTTTGGAATATCGCTTTGGTCACTTTGGGTCACCTGTCCTGGCTGTGTCTCCTCCCAGCCTCCCATACACTCAAAATGTCCTTGCTAGCATGTCGGTAAAAAAGAACAAAAGGCCTTGGCTCTGTGCAAGCCCTACTCAGCAATAACAAAAACATCTCTCTATTATTAACCCTGTGTTCAACACAAATCCAAAACCACCTCCATACCAGCCACTTCCTACGCCAGCTGAAATCAGTGCAATTTGTCGAGGCTTATGAACCCTCTGATTCTCATTAGTTCCATGGGATGGAGGTAGCATATGGAGTGAAGATTATCTCTTGATGTTTTCTGTTTGATGACCAGACTTCTTCACAGCCTTCAGCTGAGGCTGTCAATGGACTCTTACCATCCATCTTCAAGGTATTATGTCCAACTTTGACAGAGTAGTACAGTCTAGCAGTGCAGTCAGCAGTATGTATTTCTTCCACACCCCACCTAGATCAGCTTCTGTAGACATGACTGCATGTTTAGAGGGCCTTGGAGGATAACCTGTCCAGTTCCCTGCAGCATTTATCTATAAATCAGCTGTGCCAAACTGTGCTAAGGGACTGCCCTGTAGAGGTTATAAAGAGCAGCTAGCAGTGTTATTCTAATTGGAATCCTCCTCACTCACACAGGTTGCTGTACTACACGTGTACATACACAGGGGTAGTAGCAAGAGGAAAAAATTCTTTGCAATCTAGTACTTGAGTAATCAGATGGATCTCTTAACTTCATTTGAATGATGCTTTAAAAGTACAGCTGCTGAGACCATCATCTACTGGCTTCAACTTCATTAGTTCTTGTTTATGATTAAGAATCATGTTGCTATTCTTAGAAATTTTTCCCTGTCAGTAGGTAATATACCAAGATATAATGAAGAGTTCATATAAAATAGTGCAGGTCATAGAGAATAGATCTATTATTGTGTTTTTTGTTGGGACACTTTACCTCACCTACTCATTCAGTCAGAACCACTGGAGCAGAAGCAGATCTCAAAAGTGGATTCTCAGGAGCCCCATTTACTCAAGAAAGCTTGTAGGAACTACTAACCTATTTTTTTTATTAATTAAAACAAACTTAACAATTAATTACTGCACATGAAAATAGTTAAAATAGGTAGTGAAATTGCTTTAGGTTAAGAGATATTAGATGACTAATATAAACTCTGATGCAAAAAGCATGTTTTCTTTCATTGGGATATATTTTGGAAGAATAGTTTAATCCCATTTGTTCCCTTTTCAAAGCGAATATTTTTGTATTGGGATGCAGGAATAACATTATTTTGCCTACTCCCACCTCAAAATTTGGGCTTTCTTGCTGGTAGCAACAACTTACAAATGCTCTAAGTTTTCTGAAAAGTTGTAGCAGTTAACAATTAAATAAACCTCTCAAATGTCAGTCTTTTTCAGTAATATGCCATATAATAAGCAGCCATATTCCAAAATAAATAGGTTATGTTTTAAGAAGCTAAGAGGATACATGGGCTGCCTTTTAAGTAGGGCAGACATCAGTATGGGTTTGTTTTTTACTAACTGTGACTAATGCATAATTACTTTGCTGTACTTAACTGCTGTGTTCATTCCTACCCAAATGCAGACCATCAATATGAGCATCTTCAAATGCGTTTACCTACTCAACACAGTAATCCTATAAAATTTGCGATCATCAGTGAGTTTAAACAAAAACCTAGGATTAACTAATTAATTACCTAGAAATGGCAGGTGATCATAATTTCTCCCAATTTCCTTACAGAATAGTTACACTTTAATTGTTTTCAGCATGTCATCCTTTTTCCCCAGAAAAGCAATGGATGGGGAAATATGTGCCTAAGGCAGCTGGTTTATTCACTATGTGTTTAAAATTGTGGCTAGAATTTTAGAAAGACATGTCTTTAAAAGTAGTTCTTGAGGACAGAAAATGGTTGGTTTATAGGTCATTGCTGAAATGGGGAAACTGCAGAAGATTATATTCATTGCTGGTATAGTCCACCAAAATTTTTCAAGTAAGGAAGACTGGGCAGGTAAAACAAGAGAAAAGACTTTTTTTTCATTGGATCCAGTTACAGGAAGGAATATGTAATTCATGTCTGAAATGTAACTGGGAATTGATCAAATGATGTAATAGGCCACTTTGAAATCTGACATAGTTTATGACCATGGCAGATGGCTACTAAATGGGAGACATTTAGAAAACAAAATCACCCACTTTTAAAGGAAAGTTGTTGCTCTTTTGTGTCTTTCTCTTGATAGCAGGTTTTTCATAGCATTCTGCAAAGTTTATTGCATACTCTCAATAGTTTTTTGTGAGGGCCTTTCCAAAACACTTCAAAACAATAAAGGCATCCTGGCATGTTTTGCATAGTTCTAAGAAAGTTAATGAATATAAACACTGTGATTGTAATATTCAGTACAAGAACTAGCTTAGTATGGGGAAAGACTAGGAATAAATGCATTCATTTTGCTTGGCAGCAGTTTTGAATGCTGATGTCCTTTAGTGCAAAATATATACTCTCAAGAAGAGTATTGTTATTCTGCAATTTCTTTTGCTGCAAATATGGACCAGTATTCCATTTTAAAATGAGTGAAAGGCATTGTTTCAGCTGCTGGTTCACACCTGACACTTGAAAGAAAGACGTTTAAGTGGAAATAGGAACATATACTTTCTGTGCCTTGTCATTTAAGGGTGGGAGGGTAATAATATCCTATTGGAGTGTACATTCCAGCCTCATAGGGTTGTTTGTAAGAACTGCATCACTTTTCATTATGATCATCCTCATTTCAGCAGCACTTGTTCATTCAACACATGGTTTCTGGTTATGATGTTATAAGGGTAGAATGATTGCATCTATTCACCTTTCATTTGTGTGTTGATGTGGCATTTATATTAAGTAGGAGTAATTTTTTTTTCTGATTTTTTTTTCTTGTGTCACCAGTGCACCTATTCCATTCTTCCATCGCTGTGCTCCTGTGAACATTTCCTGCTATGCCAAGTTTGCAGAGGCCCTGATCACCTTTGTCAGTGACAGTAGTGTCTTACACAGGCTGATTAGTGGAGTTATGACCAGCAAAGAGATTATAATGGGACTTTGCTTGTTATCACTAGGTAATTGTTTTTCTCATTACTAGCTATTTCTTAGTGTACTCCATTAGGAGGTTGCTAACACACTCTAACCACATTATGAGCAAAAAACCTGTATAATAGCAACAATCCCTTAGAAAATTATTCAGAATGCTTTTTAGAAATTTTATTTGGGAGCTGGGTAACTTATTCATAAGTAATATACTGGTTTTGTTTCTCTTGTTTCTATGAGATAGAGGATGCATGGCTGTTAATTAGCCAACATTAATTTTGATATAGTTAAGAGAACATCCACCTTTTCTTAATTTTTTATAGTATTCCCCTTTCCCATTTGTAGTAGTCATCTTCTACCAACTCAAGTGTGAATAAACCCTTTCCAAATAAAAAAGACAGGTTGAGAAATGCAAAGTAGCACATTCTGATTGGATGTAGGGCATTTAATTTGTTTCATTTAACATACTTGCACAAAGATATGAGAACTTGAAGAGTGAAAACTAGAAAATCAGGTGCCCATTTGTTGCACTGTATGTTACCTCCTTCTTCCCCTTCCTTCAAAATTAAAAGCTTCGGGTCTTTGAAAATCTCAGCCTTTTCTGAAGAGCTGGAAATTCCCAACAATACAGAGTTGCTGAATTTTTTCTGTAGCTGTGAGATGCCTCTAGCCTATCAAGTGACACTTTGTGCTGCACTGAAGAGCTGCTTTAACAAAGTCATCTTGTTTGAGGTGGGATGTTGCCCACTGACATAAATTGCTTTCCTAGTGAGTCCATTTTACTCATACAAAGTATAAAATCTGAAATCCTAAAATGGGAGTATCATGATATTAGCTTTTCATATGAGAGTGTATTATGTAGAAAGAAACACTGCAAAGCTGTATCAGATATAGGGATCTTTTGTTTTCAGTTTCCTTTTGTGGTTAAAGAAAAGGGTAGGGGAGAAGGAAGGGAAAAGGAAAGAAAAAGAGGAGGATGCTAGATACCATTAACCCCCTCTACATACACACAAAAGACCATTGTGTATTTTTTTCAACTGTAGCTTGAAAGCTGTTTATTTTTACATCTTGACAGCTTCAGTATTTGGTAATAATGGTAGAAAACTGTTTGAAATCTGAAAGCTAGTGGCTGATTCACAGTTCTACTGTTCAGTTAGAGTCAGAAGTTAGTACAGAATTTACATATAGTTAATTTAAAAAATAGTTTTTGTAATTTCATAGTTAAACAGAAATTATTTGTTTTAAAACAGGGGGTTAGACTGTGCTTCAAAAAGCCAAGTTCCAGTGGCTTGCATGTGACTGCTGAACACAAACGTGTGTGTGTTAAAATACAAATATGTACTTGTACACACCACTCACTTAGCCTTAGCTGCTGTAAAGTTTTTTACTTGTAACTGGCATGACATTTCAGAATACACAGGTATCATATTAACTGCACTGGTTTGATATGTGTATTTGAGTACAGACTCTGCCCTGGTCCTCAGGAGGTGTGCTCATGTTACCAGACTCAAAGTACTGTCATGCCTTGCTGTCTGTTTGGTCATTGTCTAAGTACATCTCTGTCTGTATGCATGCATTATGTCTTGTGTTTGATGTATCGTGTAAATGTATTTATGCTCTCTTTGTTTTAATCAACATTATCAAAGCAGAAGTTGTAGAGGTGCCTAATTTTCTTAACTATCTATTCAGTGAGTTTGTAAGCCTCAAAAAAGAAACCTGTCTGTAAAAATTCTGTTGGAAGGCAGTTCCCTTAGTACAGTGGGAAAATTAGGAAGGCTGTATCTACTTGAAGTAATTCGTCTGCTTATTTTATTTGTCTTCTTTTGCAGTGTTGTCCATGATTTTGATGGTTATAATAAGGTACATTTCAAGAGTACTTGTCTGGATTTTAACAATTCTTGTCATTCTGGGATCACTTGGTAAGTCTTGTTTGTTTCCCACTTGGAGTGCCCAGTTCTAATCCTTGTGCTCCATTTCCTCAGCCCAGCTACAATTCTCACACACTTGGATCATGCATTTCCCTTCAGCCTTTTTTTTTTTGAGTCCCTTTCCAGATGCACATCCAAAATGCCACCTTAGTAATTGCAGATCTCTCTCAAAGAGTGCATTGCTCCTTGGATGTTTGCACACCCTGCTTGGCATCAGTCATCATGTCAGCCTAGCTCACTAGAGCCCACAGGTGACAGTGCAGGAGATTCCTCACAGCACTTGTAGCACAACCCTAAATGCTGCCTACTTCTTTACCTGCCTTCCAAACAGGTCAGCCAGGCAGCTAAGCCTGGGTGTGTCTGGTGGTACTCCCATGCCTCAGCTGGTACATGGGGCAACTCTTGCTCATGCAGCTGAATATATTTACAACTCTGACATGTTCGTCAGCCCTTCAGTTCTTTGAATAGGTCTTTAAGATCCATTCTTGAAGAGAGGAAGTAAAGGTGCTTCTCCAACAATTCTAATAAATTATTGTATTTCTGTATGACTCAGGAACACCTGCATGACCTAGATCATATGTGAAATGCCACCAGGCAAGCTATCTTGGAAATGACCACAGGTTGTCTCCTCCAAAATTATGTAGCTTGTGTGAAAATAGTCTTATTTTGTCACATTAGCTTTTAAACTCATAAAACGAAAGTTTTCTACACTTATTACTGAGTAGCTAAGCCAAAATGTCTGGGCAGATGACTGCACAGAAAGAAAAAAAATAGAATAATCACATTAGGAAGCACTAGTGATTTAATTCTCGCAATTCAAGACTGCAATGGATGGAGAAAATCAGCAGACCATCTGTATTTTTTCAGGATCACTTTGGTTTTCTAATTAATGGCCTCACAATCTGTGATCAGGGAAAAGGAAAAATATGCATTTTCTTTTCCATTTATATTCCCTTTAGAAGCTGAGCAGCCATGTTGAGTCAAACAGTTGAATAACTTATCTTACTGGCATCTGTTACTATGTTCTAGAAGGTTACATCCATTAAAATAATGGATTGAATAAAACCTCATCTTTTATGACATATACTGCTTATTCTGTCTTGACTGTTTGTTTAGGAGGTGTCAAAAGAGCATTCTTCATTTTAGACCTGAACAAAGTGTGTTCAGCAAAAACATGGCAATCACAGAATCACAGAATGAGTGAGGTTGGAAGGGACCACAGAGGCTCATCTGGTCCAACCTCCCTTCTCAGCTTATGCATTTGATTCAGAAATACCAGCAGAACAGAGAAGGACAATTAAAAGAGAAAAGAAATGTACCAGAGAGGAGAGGTTATCTCCCTGAGGGGCTGGAGATCTGTGTTCAAGAAAAGTTATACCTTGGAAAATTAGCTAGAATAGGAGAATGTTTTTCTGGCCATAAGGCTAGGATTAACATAATAGGGGTGAGAAGACAGTACCTCACATTGTATTTTCCTCCTGTGCCTTTTACTGATGTTTTTTCTGGTGTCCAAGACATTGTGTGAGGCATGTTTAGCTACATATCATTAAGGTGCTGTTTCCAGCATCAAGCTGATGGTTGTTGTTTGTAGTCTTCCCAGGAACAGTAGACTCCTTGCTTTGTTGTTATTTCACATCCTAATCCAAAGGTCTGTCTCTATTTTCCCTCCTAAATTCTTACTCCCTGCATTATTGCACACACCTATACATTCATACATACAGCCTACCACAGAACTATTTATTCTTCCTTTTGTTCTTTTATTACTTGTGTAGTGGGAGCTGTGCTATTTGCTGTTAGGGCTTTCCATGAAGTAGTTTTTCAATGCAGTTTACCCTAAAACACAGAGTCAAGGTTCTGCAAGTCTCTTAAGTGGTCATAGTATGGTGAGACTGTGAAAAGAATATATTCACTTGAGAAGAAGGCAACAGAGGAGAACTAGGTACTTCTCCCTCCTCTCAAGGTCCTGTTGGGTTGAGCATCAGTGCTTTGGAGTATTCACTACCAGACTAGACTTAAAAGGAAAGAACTGTTTTATTTCTCTGGGACTAGGTGGTATATATCACACAGAGGATTCATTTATTTATCCTTCTTCTTTTCTCACTAAAACATAGGTGGTACTGGAGTCCTGTGGTGGCTCTATGCTAAACAACGAATGTCCGCTGGTGCTCTTGAGACCCAAATAGCCAAAGACAATCTTCAGGCTCTCTTGATCTATGCCATTGCAGCTACAGTCTTCACGGTATGCTTTGCTAATGATGGTATTATTTTCTGCTCTTGTCTTCCTGTTAATCTCTATTTTTTGTCCAGGTGAAAGCATTGTATCGCACACATTTTGGAACAGTTTATTTCTGCCACAATTTCTGTTGAAGTGATTTTCTTTCATTGTGCTATTTTTTTAACTTTTAGGAATTGTTCTCTAACACCTGATTATGAGTCAGGGGAGACTTTCTAGGAGCTGTTCTGTTATCTGATTTTAAGTCAGGAGAGACTTTGTAAGCCTGCAGCTACTTTCATCTACTGTAAAATATCCACAGGGACTTCTAAGAATAGGTATGATACTGGACTGCCAATCCAAAGAGATTTTTCTTAGGTTCTCAGTTCAGAGGTACTTAGTAATTTCAGTGTATTAATAGTCCTTAGCCTAATTCTGAAAGAAGTTGTTCGTAAATCATTAGGAATTGAAATACTAACACCATTTTAACCAATTTGTCTTCTTTGGGCCTTGCTGTTAATTTCAGAGTCATTGAATTTACTATTGGAGACTGACAATGTTTGACTAACTTCACAGGAATTGTAGACTTCCTCTTCTGTTCTTGTTGCTTCACATCCTAATCCAAAATTTCCTCTCTGTTCCCTTTCCTAGATTCTTACTCCCTATATTATACACATATATACATACATCCTATAAGACTACCATGCCATGGTCAGATATAAATTTTAAATTACCTTTCTTAAAGGTAATTAAAGGTTAAAACTGGCTGATTTCACTGCTTTGTAAAAGAAATTGAAGATAGAACCTGGTCTTGTCTCATCAGCTTAAAGCTATGATGATTCCAAATACGTACTTATGAGAATGGAATTCACCAAAAGTATAATTTGGAAAATAATTTATTACCAGAAGAAGCTGATAGAGGTTTTACATTTTGATCTTGTGATTTTATAGATAATGTGTTAATTTAGTGTATTTGAATATCCTAACTGTGTGAAAGAGTATCTTGATTCCATTTCAGTACTCTAAAATGTGATTTGGAAACTTCTCCCTCCAGGTTGTCTTGTTCTTGATCATGTTAATTATGCGCAAAAGAGTAGCTCTCACCATTGCCTTGTTCCACGTGGCTGGCAAGGTCTTCATTCACCTGCCACTGTTAGTCTTCCAGCCATTTTGGACATTCTTTGTGCTTATCCTCTTCTGGACATACTGGATCACTGTCCTGCTTTTTCTTGGTACTACAGGTAAGCAGTGACTTACTTTAAATAATTTTCATTTCATTGTTGTATGATTTGTAGCAGAGTTGACGAAAAACCCTGTGGGAGTCTCAAAGAAAAAGGCCCACTTGTTGTGCTTCTATTCCTGTCTGCTGCTTCACTGCCTTCAGGTTATTGTGCACTTGAGTCTTAATTCCCAGCATGGTACTTTGTGTGTTAGGATGGCTTTTTGATTTGATGCAAGTTGGCTTGCTGCAAACCATGAGACACTAATAATAAAACTGCTGTAGCAGTTTTTCAAATAATTCCCTCTAATTTTTCACACACAAGTTAAAGACAGCATAAACTTGGAGTCACCAAGTACTGTACTCACACAGATGAGTACACAGTAAGGGAAGGACCATTGCGCACAATACTGTCTCCCACAATGTAAATATTGTGATTTTAGTTTTCAGTTGTTTGTAACTTAAGTGTCCAGTATTATTCCAGAATCAATAGGGATATTTTTCTGCTGCTTGTGCATTGCATTCTGAGAGCAGCCAATGTACTGCTAATTCCTGCCTGCTCTTCAGTATGTAGAAGGTGAAATCTTTGTTTGTATTCAGGGTCTGACAACAGCTTCTAGAATTAATCAACCCCATAGGTCCAAATCTTAGTTACTTCAGTAAAAAAAACCACCACAGCAGATGCTTTTTAAACAGTCTGTTATTTGCAGTACATTGTAGGTAACAGAGACTGTCATTCATTATTAAATGTCTTAAAATTTTGAAACATGTTGTTTGCTACTGACCCAAAAGTAGCAGTGTTTCAAGTCACAAGGCTATTTCACAGTAATACAAAATAAATATTTTTCATATCGTGAGTTCTAGCAAAGGTTGGAGGCAATAGAATTCATATGTTCCTGTTCTCATTACTGATGGAATTTTTAGGTTTCATTGCATGCTGTGCTATGTGCAGAAAATGGTCACCACTGAAAGTCTCAGCCCTGTCCTTCATTTTCTGAGTCAGACCACTGCGCAGGCACTTAGTTTGTAGGAGAATGTAGTCTGATATTAAAGTTAACTGACAGAACCCTTCAAACTGCCTTGATTTTGCAAAAACTATCTTATCTTTTTAGCTTATATATACTCAGTATCATCACTATTATCAGTTAAACAAACTTTCTGCAAATAAGGCCAAATTCTTGTTCGCCAAAATCAGAATTATTTCAATAGTTAACATATTGACAAGAAAACATTCATTTTATATGTAAGTATAAAAACATAACTAAGAATGTGGGTAAGGTGCTGTCAGTGCTAAGTCAAAACAATGCTTTTCAAGGTAAGCACTTTATACACACTTCCTTGCAGTGTTTTTCTGAATCTCATCAGCTGTTCATGTAAATGTTGTATAATGTGAAACATCTCCACTGTGCATTAACACATTGAAATAGAGCTTATCTTAGCTCTGACATGCTGTCAGTCTCTGTACATTATATTGATATTCATATTAGACAAAGAGTTGATGCATTTTTGAATATATGAAATGACATATTTAGAATTTCTAAGGCTGCTCCATATGTCTGCTACTAGCTTTAAAGCTACAAGAGCTTACCATAGGGAAAACAAAAGTCATTGTTAATGTTGACATCTACATGTAAGGAGCTGATACTGATTCTTGCTGTATGAAAAATACTGATAAGGCAGCAAACTCAGATTTGAAATTACTGAAGTAGACTTCCATTATGTTTAACTATGTGAATTTTTGCTATGAGATGGTGGTTAGTTGTGGAATTTTTTTAGTGTATTTTTTTCAAATACCATTATACTTATTGTAAATGTGGTAATTGTAAATTTAAAACTATGAGTAGAAACTAGAGAGGTTTCTGCTGTAACTGGCTATGAGCTGCTAATACCATATGCTTCCTTCATTATGAGTTCATGTAAGCATCATTTTGCTTTTTACCCTCATTCATTTCTAGGTAGTCCTGTCCCAAATGAAGAAGGATTTGTTGAATTTCGGATGGCAGGTCCTTTGAAATACATGTGGTGGTACCACGTAGTGGGACTCATCTGGATCAGCGAGTTTATCCTAGCCTGTCAGCAGATGACAGTAGCAGGGGCTGTTGTAACATACTATTTTACAAGGTAACGTTAACCTAGGAAGCTCTATCATGAGTAGCCTACACATTGACTTAGCAGAAATAATGAGCAGCAAGGTTTCTGGGGAGAATATTTGTGTCCATTGGGAAAGCGGGGGAACAGTTAAATTGCCTTGACTCTTTTTAAATAATGTAAAGTCTGTTTTGCCATTTATAGATGGTATTCTTGACATATAAGACTTGAAGTATTATTTGCCTTGTAACCTATGCACATTCTACAGGTATGGGTGGTTGTTTACAAAGTAGGATGAGTCTGGAAGGTCATCTGTTTTGCTAAATAATTAACGCTGATAAGATCTATAGCAGAGGTTAAAAATAATGAAAGCAATTGATTATTATTTTAATTGCAAAACAGTGCCCTTAAAATTATTTACAGTGCTTCACTAATCTTCAATAATCTTTCCTTCACAGGATTCCTGAAGATCTTATTAGATTAATAATTTATATATAGATCCTGACAAGATCATATAGAAATTAATGTAAAATTTTAAAGCTCCATATTTTATTGCTGTACTTGTGAACTAAATTGTGTATCAGTTTTTTGAATAATGTATGCAGGTATTTTTCAAGTGCATGATTCAGATCACAAATGTTTAATTGCTTTGTCTTTTTCATTGAGGCCGTTACCTGAACTACATTTGTCTTCTTTTCTGCCCTACTCTTTAAAATAATTCCAAAAGCAAGGAATCAATTTATTGTGCTGTCAGAAGTTTTGTTATTTTATTAATGATTAAGTTCTCCACTATACCAATCAAATAAATCTATGAGGTTATTAAAAGATGTTACAGGGCTGTAATCTTGTGAATAATTAAACTAGATTGAGTATGGAATGAGGAAAATACAGAGGAAGGAGAATAACTCTGCACTGAAATAGATTGCTTAGCAATGTGTATGCTTCATCTGTAAGTTTATGTATTTCCTGTGGCCTGAGGGTGAATAATTGTTATTTCATCCGTACCCTATAATTCCATGACAGCAATTTTATTTTAAGTTAGTAAATACTCATTTTTCTCTGTTATCTTCTTTTTGCATTGTAAGGTACAACCGTAATTTGAAATGTGACTTGTAAAAACAAAAAAGGCATTAATTTGCCCTTACCCATTATTTTGCACATGAACAGCTTTCCAAATCAAATGAGATGAGGTTGTCCATGGAGAAATGTTTTATACGTATTCGCTGCTCATTCACTTTACCCGGATGGATTCCTTTCAACTCAGGCAATAACAGGCCTCAAAGTGTTTTGCATTACAGACTTTGCCCTGAAAATGAGGAAGTGTTTGGTTTGCCTGGGCATGAGACTCAAGCAATTTATGTGATTGTGCCTAACAAGGAGTAAAATTTGTCTTCCCCTAAAAGCTAATTGGAATAAAATACAGGGTAAACCTACTTTACTCATTAACATCTGAGGATTATGGAGATATTAGTTTCATGGAATGAAGAATCTACTTCTGTTTTCTTTTCTGAGTGAAATTCTCATCTCTTCCAAGCTGGGGAGATCCTTTATTTTTGAATGTTATCACATGTTTCTTAATATGCTTATTATCATGCTTTTATTTCCAATAAAGAAGAAGAGCCGTTCTTTAAATGTTTAATTAGTGCTATCCTTTGAGAGAGATGTATAAATGAGTTTCTTGGTAGAAAAGAATAATGGCATGAAACTATGAACATGAGTATTTATCTGATAAATTAAAAATATTATAACTAGAGTGCATAAAATAACTTATTTTAAGGCTCAACCCTTGGTACCTTGAGGATATAACAGCTAAATCAGAAATTTAAAAAATCTGAGCAAAGAGTTTACCTGATCAATTAGTAGTATCCACTCCAAAGTCCATACAAAGATCTCCAAAAGAACAAGAGAGGAGAAGGCAAGTTAATCAGTAGTCTTACTAAAAAAGTATTAGCACAGTTTCCTACTGTTTTGGAAGGTTTTGAATTGCATACCATCTGGTGCAACTTTAAGGGAATTGCCAGTTCTTAATAGTGGTAATGCAGCCAACTGCTAGTAAGACTACCTGGAAACAATGAGTGTTTCCAGCTGCTTGGAGAATCACTGGCCAAGGTATTGGCAAAAACTGGTTAATATAGAAGTTAAAGTGTCACAGAGTTCATTGACAAGAATCACTCTACTACTTAGTAGATGATTAAAGCACACTTTAAAAAGGAAAAGTAGGACTAAAATCAGTTAATCTAAGACTAAACCTAAAATTATGTGGAAGCTAGGGATAATAAAAGCTAAGGATGAGAAAGCATAAGGATAAAAAGAAATGAGGGAGACCCTCTCATCAAATCACAAGGTTAACAGTAGGCTGTCTTGCCACTCTTAGCCCCAGGCTTCACCAACAGTGTAGGCCTAAAGAGTTAAACAGCACTTAAACTTAGCATCACTTAATCAATAGCGTAATTTAATGAATTTAGTGAAAGAGTGTATAGAATTTACTATGAGCACAACAGTGACTCAGTTACTTAGACCTGATTTACTTACCCCTGTAACATTCACAGTCCGTTTGCTGTAGCACATTCACACTCACATGTGTAGATACAAGGTCCTCTCAAGTTTAGTGAAGTGCTCAGGTCAGATGCCTCTACATCTTCTCAAAAGGTGAAGGGTTGAGGCTTGAGAAGTGGGTTGTCAGCCTAGGCTCTGTCAGCAACATTTGATGTTGGTCCTCTGAGTATCACAAATTTAAGTGTTCAGTGGCTCAGAGAGGTCCCACTCAGAAGGAGGTGCTGGTCATAGCCCACTGTGGTCCAGGAGTTTAGAGGGTTGCAAGAGAATTGGCTTTAGTCATGGTAATTTTCCATCCTGTCCACAATTCAGGTCTGTTACTTTCTTTGAAAGTTCAATAACAGAAATGGTTGTTCTACCTAGGTTGATATTTGGGCACAAAAAATACGTTTACAAGGCTGTTCCTTTAAAAACAGGAGCCTGATAGACAGGACAAGTTCCTGTGTTTCTGATAATTTTGAGGAGGTGAGTCCAGGTGCTGTTTGTCAAGACAGGGGTCTAACAAGCATTTCTGAGATTGTAATGCAGCCCAAGATGGGAAGGGACAAAGGGGATGCATCACCACATTACTCTTATGTGTTACAATTCAATTTAAACAGAAGAGCAAAGAAAACTAAGTCTTTGTGAATAAAATGGATTGAACACAGAAAGGTTCAAAATATACTCCAAAACTTGATTAAAGCCAAAGGAGGTTAGATGTTAGTGCCAACAAAACCAAAAAAAGTTCGTATATTTTATTTAATAGTAAAAGAGGCAAGGGGAAAGAAAGAGAAAAGAAAGGAATATGTAGAAAAAGAGCAGGGAGGGGAACAGGAAGAGGGACAGGGGTTAGGTAGAACCATACCATCCTTCAAGGGTTCCCTGCACCCCAGAAAGTATAGAATCCAGTGGATTCATATATATTTGGGCCAGGTAGGAATGCCTTGAGGGCAGGTTTGACACTGTCCCTTGCAACGCTGTGGATCTGGTACATCATGTTGCTGTGCTCCAGTGCAAGATCTGGGGGCCCCTTGTGGGGATAACTTTTGCTGGGCCATGACAATCCGTCTGCTGTCATTCACGTGGATGTCCTGTAGATGTGGCTTTCCCAGGTGAAGAGGTGACTACACTTGGGCAGGTCTGCCCTACAGAGTATTGGCATTCACTGCCTCTTACCAGTGGCTTTTTCACCACACGCCCAAGACCTGTCCTTCCCACCCCCACCCTTTAGTGCGAGGGCCTGTGCAAGTCTGGCAGCTGATAGTCCTGGGGCTGTGGTCTCTACCCCAAAGGTGTGAGGCTTAACCCTCCTCTGAGTGTTTTTATTTTTTTTCCAGCCCAGAATTCAGTCACTTTCTCTGATCTCCATCAACTTGAAATCCAGAGCCTCAGTCAGGAGGCTCATTCAGGGTGTGGTGGTCTTCCATGCAGCTTTTGTTATAAAGTTTTGCTTAACAGGCAAAAGTCCTTCATAAAAATGCTTAAGCCATAAATGATAACATTGCAGTCTCCAGCAGTATGACATACTAATTCCTAATCCTCGTCCTGCATTAGAGACAAATTTGTACAGTTACACAGATTGTCGGGGTGGAGTGAGCAATATATCCTGAAAGCTAGTATGAGCATAATGTATTCCTTTTGTACATTATTTTATTGAGAATTTGTAGCACTTCTTAAATACTTAGTGGTTTTTTTCTCTTTTCAACAGGGAGAAAAGAAATCTGCCATTTACTCCTATTCTGGCATCTGTTAATCGCCTTGTTTGTTACCACCTAGGGACAGTAGCAAAAGGGTCTTTCATTATCACAATAGTGAAGATACCACGAATGATTCTTATGTATATTCATACACAACTCAAAGGAAAGGTAAGAGAAATAGATTCAATTTTCCTACAAAAACTCAAGGCCTGATATGTTTACCTGTTTATTTAGTCAGTGTGGGAGGGTGGAAGTCTTGTTTTGGAATAGATTAGGGTAACAAGAAATTCTTCACTGTGAGGGTGGTGGCGAGGCACTGGAACAGGTTACCCAGAGAAGCTGTGGATATCCCATCCCTGGAAGTGTTCTGAGTCATGCTGGATCAGGTTTTGAGCAGCTTGGTCTAGTGGAAGGTGCCCTTGCCTGTGGTGTTGGGAGTATCTTCCAACCCAAGCCATCCTATTGTTCTCTGAATATTTAGACTTTACAGGACCATGGGACTGATACAGATTGCTTAAGTTAGCAGGCTGAATATCAGTTACTGAAGCACAAGGGAATATTAGTTTCCATAAAAAACTCTTTATCTATGTTTTCCCACATTCTGTGCTTTCTAGGAAAATGCTTGTGCTCGCTGTATGCTTAAAGCGTGCATTTGCTGCCTTTGGTGTCTAGAGAAGTGCCTGACATATTTAAATCAGGTAAGATTTTCCATATTTACATTTTATGTAAGGGCCAATATTAGTATATATATTATATATATATATATATATATATATTCCCAGAGTGCAATCTGATGCCGACATATAGTGTATTGTACTTTGGAACTGAACTTGAATGACAGAACTTCAGTCTTGTCTCCATTACTGAAATTACACTGCAAATCATTACATCTTTGGAATATAAATAAAAACTAAAAAATAGCCCATATTCATTCTTTGTGAACATGGTTTCTCAACTTTATAACAATTTAGTGGTTTAATGGAGGCATTTCCTCTTAGGTCTACTCAGTCAAACTACATCTGAGTTTCAAAATATTTTTGCTATGAAAAGAGAATTAAGCTTTTCTATGCGTAACATTTAAGATTCTCACAGTGTAAAAACTATACAAAACATCAAATTGTCATCATCATCTACAAAGGACAAAAAGAGTTGCAAAGTGCAACACACTGGCTGGTCCTTGTAAAAGACCCATTGTAAAAGTGGGTTTATGGGCCATAAATATCACATAAATAATTATCAGATACATAAATATCTTGTACATAGTATCTCTTTCACTGTTCTTAATTTTTTTTACTGACCGAAATGTAGAGAATAAAATTGTAAGAAAGCATTTTAAACGCCCCAATGTAATCCTTGAAAACTGTCCTTACTAACCTTGAATGCAGTGTAGTTAAGTATTTAGAAATTATCTTGGTTGACTTGTATGGCACTCAGATTCTTTTATCTTTCCAGATTGGTTTTTTTGGAACTATTTAATTTCTGTAGCTATGCTACTGTTCACCTCCTCCTGCAGAGGAATTGCAAATTCTGTTTAATGAGTTTTTTTGAACAAACTTGTTAATGCATAAATTATGAGCAAGAGAGGAGAAGAATAGTAATTCTTTACCTCATATAATCTTCTGTCAGCTGGTTCATATTGCTTGATTCAACAACTCTCAAGGGAATTTTTGTTCATTAAAATCATATGATGAATGTGTCTTACTCAAAGCTGTATCTTCCCCTTCACCTTCCCCACCCTCCATCTGAAATGCCTGATCATTCTATGAATAAATCTTCAATCTCCTTTTCTCAGAATGCGTATACAGCCACAGCTATCAACAGCACCAATTTCTGCACCTCAGCAAAGGATGCCTTTGTTATCCTAGTGGAAAACGCTTTGCGAGTGGCTGCCATAAACACAGTTGGGGATTTTATGCTGTTTCTAGGAAAGGTATGTCTGCTGCATACAGCTGTTGCAGATCTATGTAGTAGCAATCTCTCTTTAGCAATGGCTTGAACCCTAATTCAAAATACCTTAAAAGGCCTATTTCTTGGTGTGCACTTCTTCACATCTAGCTGCATCATGTTAGGAAGGGACTGTCCACTATAGGGAGCATAAACAGATGATCCACTTAAATTTAGTAGAAGTGAGTAGAGAGGAATAGCTGAAGTTTATGATGCTTTTTGCATTTTTTAGGGAGTCAAGAGAAAAGTGATTAAAAAGTCTAAGGTTTTGATTTTGTAATTAAGACAAAGAATTGTAAGGAAAGGAAGTTGTTCTTTTAAATTCTGTGTAGTATGGAGTTTCTAGGTTTATATTGAAAATTTGACACGTTAGTGATCACCTTTTATGACAAAATCAGACTGGAAGAGTACAGAAGCCTGCTATGAGGAACTGCAAGTTTAAGCTACGAAGTTAGTTCTACTCTGAGAATTAAAAGAAGACCAGAATAATTTCTGTGATCAGTCAGCCTTTTGGATTTCCAGCTAATGGAGATTCACTTTAATCCAATGAATTATTTCTATCCTTTGAAGTGCCATAATTTACTGAAACAATTAATACCAGATTATTTATCTGGACACTGGTTGGACTGATCTGTATTCTTTATTGCATTCCTCTACTGTTAAATCAGAAGTTCAGCAGGCTGGACCTTGTATCCTGTAATTAAGTGAGTAAGCTGTGAGAAGAAATAAATGCATAGGGGAGCTATAGGTGCTTTGGAGAACCTGAAATTACATCACAAAGTTTTGCTGGGGAATCTGAAAAGTGTTAGGAAACGCCTCCTGAAAAGGCATCTCAGATTATTAGAAAAATGTTCAGGTGACAGATATGTTCAAATGAACAGTGCACATAAAAATCAGTATCAGCTCAAATAATGCTACACTATCAGCATCTCCTCTAGCAGTTCAATGTGATGTTTTTGTAAAAGCTGACCTATTTTATGATTATTGCAACTATTTATGAAAAGCAACTATTGTTTAGTTGCTTTTCATAATAATACACTCAGAAATATTGAAAAAATTACTTGGCACCACCAATTTAGTCTTTTTGGTTTTGTCAAAACCAGACTGAAACCCAGTGGAATGTCTGTTACAGGCTCATACATAGTGTAGTTCTGTAGAGACTGTTACATGAAGTGCCTCATGTGAACTCTGATCTGCTTTCTCCTGGATGGAGAAGAAATAGATATTAAAGAAGCCTGGAAATTGTTTCCACTAGCAAAATGAAAAATATACCATTCTCCTAATACCTAACTTCTGCCTCCATCCCAAATAAAAAATAAAACTGCATGTTAGTTGATGCATGGCATTTGATTGTGGGGTTTATATAATTGACAGGACAAAGTTCTTTTTTACAGGAATATTGTATAACACTAGAATGATGACAGCAGAATATAAATGTAATTTTCTCTGAAAAATACTCTTTGTGATGAAGAATGTGTAACAATTGACTTGAACCTGCTGAAAAATGAATTAAATGTCTTTTATCCTCAGGGACATGGGGAATCCAGGAGGTAAAGCTCTTGTTACCTACTGTCTGTTACCTCTAGTTCTAACCTTGGCAGACCAAGAAGCGTACTGCCTTAACACAAACAAACCAAACAAAAAATTTCAAAAGGCTTCTGCCATTAGAGTTGTCTACCATTTTCTTCTTCAGGTCCTGATTGTCTGCAGCACAGGTTTGGCTGGCATTATGTTGCTGAATTACCAACGAGATTACACCATCTGGGTGCTGCCACTCATCATTGTCTGCCTCTTTGCATTCCTGGTTGCTCACTGCTTCCTTTCCATTTATGAAATGGTTGTTGATGTCCTATTCTTATGTTTTGCCATCGATACAAAATACAATGATGGGAGCCCTGGCAGGGAATTCTACATGGATAAAGTTCTCATGGTAAGTTTTCCCTTACTCTCAAAGTGTAAGGATCCGGTTCCATAAAATAGGTATTTTGACAATGGAATGAATGCAGTAGCCGAGTTCAATATGGGGGTTTTTGGTTGTTTTTTTTTTGCCTTGCCATCTTGTTCATGGCTTGATCAAGAAACAGTGTCATGTGATAAGCATCAAGTAAGTAATGATGCTTCCTTCCCATGGTATTGGCTTCTGTTTGCTAGCTATTGGATGAGCAGTGATCTCACAGATTCATACTCTTGGATATCATGGCTTGTAAATTACACAGTGCAGAATAGAAAGAAACAAAACAAAGGAAGAAAGCTTGGGTTTTTTTTACTTTCCCAAGAAGGACTTGTCTTTGGATATGAGAGAGGAAAAATATCAGAGTATTTTACCTCGTGCATAGATAGTGATCACAGTGGAGTTTTTATATAGGCATTGACCAGAATTTGCTCTGTCACACCTAGAAATACCAGACTTTATGTCCTGTCCTGGAGCCTACTTTGTCAAGACCTTTTGCAAGTCCAATTCATTTTGTCTATTTTTGTCCATGTTATTCTCTGTTCACTATAACTAGAAACCAAGATATAAAAAATCTGCTTGTCAAACCTCTCACTTTTTTGTTGCATAGGAAATTTCTTGTCAGTGTTTTTAAGTGGCAGGTGTAGAATATGTCTCTGTAAAATGTACCCTTGTGTAGGCTAGAGGAAGATTCTCATGACTTCTTAGCAATTGTTTTTTTTGGTGGGAAAATCATGCCAAGAGCTTAGTGCTAAATTTTTCGTAAACCTCTGTGGAATGTAGAGTATATAATAAATAAATCAGCTGCTGTTAAGTTGCTTTTTAAGAGAGTAAGAGTAAAATGCAGCAAGTTCTCTCAAAAGAAAGCACTGATAGATTGTAAAAGTATTGTGGGTTTCTTTAGTCAACAGTCAATATCACAAAACCTCAGCAGCTAAAGTTTACTGACATGTTCTGCAGAATTCTTGCCTTGAAGAGAAAAATATTGCTTAACATTTTATAGCACATTTTCTAATCTGCATGAAAAGGAGATTGTGATTTTGTGAAAAATGTAAGAGGTTGAATTAAGGACAGTTAGGGAAATCAGCCAAATCTTGCAAGTAATTATCTTTAACTCCCTTTGTTTAATGTAGTTCTAACATTTGGCACAGAATAAATGAGATTCTGATTTGTTTGGGGTATTTGTTGTGGATTTTTTTGTTTGGTTTTGACTTTTTTTTTTTTTTTAAATCAGCCTTTTACTTTCTTTCCCCATAAAGGAGAGCATTGCAGGGTAAATATGAAAGTTGTAAGAGCACACAAGGCAGACATCTGTCTGGCTTTCAGAATTAAGTGAGGCAGACCTTTGTGGTTATTTGGAAGGCTTTTTTGATATCTTGTGGTCCAGTCTAAGCAAGAGAAGTGGGAGATGTAAATTAGCTAGATATTTTGAGTAGTTACATCTTGAAGTTTCTGTCTTGAGATTTAATGTTTGGAGTCTGCTCTGTGAAAGCACTCGTGTTTTCATTACTGTTTTTCAGGAGTTTGTGGAGAACAGTAAGAAATCTATGAAAGAAGCTGGCCGGGGAGGTGGAGCTGAGGGCAGAGAGCTAAAACCAATGGTAGGTGCAGATGAGGAGGTGGCGATCCTCCAAGAGTTTCACTTTTACTTCTTCTCCCTCTTTGTCTTTACTGACTGCACTTCTTCAGGAGAAGTTTTTGTTCTCTGTATCACTCAAGATGTTCTGCTTTTTCTGTTTGTGAGCTTGCCTATCACCTGGATGGCAGAGTTTTTGTCACAGCTGAGACCATCTCCTGTAAAAGTAAGATGAAAGGAACTGTCTCATATGAAACAAATGCAATGTCATTTCATTAGGATTACTGGTGCATGCCATGTGGTATATGCAGACAGCCCCAGATGCTGAACAGTCTAAAAATAAGATGGTTCTGAGATTCTATGGGCTCTTCTCAGCCCTGAGATGAACAATTTTTGCTCATCTTATATTCACTGCAAAAGCCTGAAATGAAGAACACTTACTGCGTGCATCAGTTGTTGCAAAGTAAGACCAGGTATTCAAAGCCCTCACCAAATTATCTTACACAGTGCCAAGGAATTGGATACAGTGATTCCTTTCAACCTGCTCAAATGACATTTCTCCCAGTTGTTTGTTTTATTGCCAACTACTTATGTTGCTTGTCTCTTGTGTGCTCTTTCCATCTCACACTGTCAGATGCACAGACAGTGAACAATGCATCATTTATGCTTCTGCAGCCTGTTTTACTTATGGTGTGCCTGTTAGGAAGGCATTGCATGTCTGAGTAGCCTGGAATAAGAACACTATACATGGTACAGATAACAGATAGGAGGATAAGTTTGGAAGGTGGAGAACAGAGGGCGTATAACAGAGAGCCAGGCTGGGCAAGGTATGATTTGTCATCGTACATTATGACTTTGTGAAACAAAATATTTTTCCATTATCACTTTCTCAGAGTGTTTGGGGTCTTATTCATTTCCGTACCATGGGGATCATTTTTTAACCAAATGGAATCTAAATAAGTGTATGCTAACAGAATAATTTATTTTTCCAACAATGTATGTGAAGCCATGTTGCATGAGCATTTTTTGACTAAGCTGGAATGGGTTCCTGCTATAGACTGGATAGATGTGTAGCTTTGCGTGTTTTGCTATTTCATTATGGCATACCAGTTTCTAGATTTGCTTATGCCTAAATGCTGCTGTGTTTATACATATAAAAAACTAATTCTGTGCTCATCTACTGTTTTCTTCTGGGAGTAATTCTAGCTGATCAAGCAGACACTAACGTTGGGATTTTCAGAGCGAGCTAATTGCTGTAAATGCAAATGTGCCATGAAAATAATTGAGAATTGGGTGTGCAAACTCTCTAGTAATATGCACAAAAAATTCAGTTCAAAATTTTATGTTAAACGCTGTTTCAAAGAATTGGTTTACCTTAAGTGGTTTTCCACTTACACTGTTGTCAGAGCTGACACCGACTGCTACTTACAGTTTTGTACTTGACTGCCTGAATCTTGGATGTTAAAAAACTTTATTCAGCCTCACCCCTTGTAGAATTGCAAACCAAGGGTGGTTTTATTCTTTGAGGAAAATTTTATGGACTCTTAGCCTGGTACTGGCTGAAAGTCCTCTTAGGATGGCTTGGAGATGCTGAGCACTTGAGGCTCAGAGTGGAAGTCTCCTGCTGAATTACTCCCAGTTCTGCTGCTCATGTGATTGTCTTTGTTTGGAACTGTTTGGGCCTTGTGGATTTCCATTTTTGGGCTTTCAGCTCCAGTTGATTTGATTATGAAATACTAGGATCTCGCTTCCTGATCACAATGGGGCACAGCAGTTAAATTTCTGAGACCTTTCCCCAAAGTAGAGGGCCTCAGTTATAGCTAGAATAGGATCGTTATAAGTCTACTGTGTAACAGTAGTGCCCATAGTCCCAAAATTGCATGTCTGAAAAATAGATCAACACTACTTTTCTCTCTTTTTTTTACAGAGTCTTTACTGCTTTGCTTCACTTTCCTTGAAAAGCAGATATTTCTTAGATATGACAATTATTTCTTCAAGTGAAATGCCCCAAGTGCAGCTGTATTTAAAATAGATATTAGTAGCAGAGATGAGAAAACACTTTAGGAAGTTCTGTTCTTGTATCAGGGCACAACAAAAAACCCCACCTTTTCATGCTTTTTTCTTTATGGCTTCCAGTGACCCCTTTGACTCAATTTCTCCTTGTCCTTTGGCATCTGTCTAAGACTGTACTGTATGACTTTGTTTTCTAGGCCTCTGGAGCAAGTTCATCTTGAAACTAGCCAGCCATATTGGAACCCATTGACATTCCAAAACAGTATATATATACATATATACATACATACATATATATATATATATATATAAATAAACAGCCAAAATCAGAGAAAAGGAACAGGGATTTAAAACTTTTTTTAACAATTATTTTTGTGAAACATGTACTCTTTTCATACGGGTGGCTTTTACAAGCAGCTTTATCATTGTTCCATTTCTTAAGTTATTTGTTGTGGTCATGGAAATGTTGATTCTTATCTGCTTGATATTTTAAAATCTGGAGGAAGTATCATTGTAAAGATAATCTGAAATCATGACTGGGTTTAGAGACAGATTTCCCATGACACTGCTAATCTGCTGAGAGTTTTACTTGTTTAATTTCTTTAAAATTTTCATTAAATTCAGGACAGTGACATGTACAGAAAACCTTACATCAAGAAAAATTTCGAATTTATTTTTTCAAGAGGTTGTTTCAGCAAAAATTTGTTCAGTTGAAATGTGTTTGTAAGCAGTTATTTTACTTTACAGCCCTGGCAGGGCACAGTTCTGTTTACCAGTATCAGATATCACAATAACCAACTCCTCAGGTATTTAGGTGTGTGGGAGCCCTTGCATCTCCTATTAAACAGAACCTACAAAATGGGGACAGATAATTTTTATATGCAATTAACTTCCTGCTTACCCTACTTTTACCCCTCATACCCATTGCCCTCTATCCTCCCCCTGAGTTCAGTAGCCTCCTTCACACTTCAGCAGTGTTCCTTTGAAGGGTATGGATTCTCCATACAGGCAAGTGAAATAACAGATTGTGAAAGCTCAGTCTTAGCCATACTCATGATTAATTCATGACTAGATACAAAGATGCTGAGGATGGGAAGAGAAATGAATTGTACTGCTCTACATAAAAAAGTACTGTATGCTTCATTTCATCTAATGAGAGAGCTCTGGGAGGTAGAAAGGATCACTCCTTGCCTGTTGCTTGATCCATATTTGTACATACTGTAGTGAGTGGCTAAAGCCAGAAAGGGCAGAGAAACATTCCTTTGGAAGTGTACCTCCCAGGATAGTTATCTGAAATTATTAAAGAGAACATGCTTTATTATTATTATTATTATATACATAATATACATAAATATCTCTTCAGTCTGGAAGTTCACCAGATATGAATGCTAATATTCAATTATTCAGCATAGTGAATTGGTAAATGCATAACTGTATTTGCCAAGAATTTATGATCTGTCTATGCTATATATTCCTTTTGTTAACATTTTTTTAAGAAAACTATTTTTGTTATTGTAAAATTAATATTTCAGAGCAGAATTTTTAAACTTATTGCACTAAATACAAGCTGTCTACAAATAATGATGCCTCAATGGTTCAATCACTCCATTCCAGAAAATCTTTTGAAAGAGTAAGAGCCTTTCTACATAAGCTTTATGATGAAGTAGAGAGGTATGTCTAGGAAAAGACATGCACAACTTGTGTAATCAAGGTTTAGTAAGTAAGCAAGCAGTTAACTGTGCTTCCTTTCAGACTATACCAGACTTCTAAATTGCTGCTGAAGGTTTAAATAATTATTTAGTGTCATTTAGCTAACTAGTGCTCTTATCTTTTTGGCAATAGTAAAATGTTTCACTTTTGCTTCCAGAAGTCATTTGATAACTTAAATTTGTTACTTTTTTTCCCTGTAAGCCAGTTAAAACAATTTACACTTTTCATATCACAGAACCCAAACTATTTGAATGATACAAAAATAAAGATACATTCAGAAAGGATAGCTGTTGGGGAGGCAAAGAGACTTCTCCAGTCCTGGAAGCACTTACTCATTTAAGTGGACCATATCTGTAACTACTAGCATCAGGAGGGCTCTCTAAGTATGGAAATTGCAACATACACATCTGTGTAAGTGCTGACTGGATTAGAGCTTCAGCCTAGGGATCCAAACTGGAGCACAGATGAGGCCTCTCTGTGCAAGTTAGAGGTCAGACTTGCCCAGAAGAAGCATTGGAGCAGCCTTACTTTTGTGGAGAGGAGACATTCCTGCAGTACCAGTGTCTAAGACAGCAGTGGTACTCAGCACCAGATCAGAGGGATTTAGCAACACAAATTTAAAAACTAGCTTAGATGAATTCTAGAAACTGGTTTTCAAGACTAAAAGACTTACCAAGTACCCAGTTGTTTCCAGAGAATCTAGTTTTAATCTTGTTTGGAGGTTATTGGAAGTGCTTAATCAAAGAAGCCTTGTATTCTGCTCATTTTGATAAGAAAATTCTGCCATGACTGGTTCCACAAGTTTGTGTTCTCCACTCACTGGATGTTCTGAGTGGGAACTGTACTCTGTAATTGCAACTAGGACTGCAATTGGTAACAAATTTTGTATTTTTGTATGACTTGACTGTGCACCATTTTTATAGCAGTTTATCCTGTCTTAAAAATAAATTTGTTTATTTACATGGTGTTTAAAAGATACAGGCAACACTTTTCTATGGGTAGTTGTAATGTTTAAGTGAGAAACCTATATCATTACAAAGTTCTTAATAAAAACATGTGCACCATTCTTGAGTGTATATCCGGCATGCAGAGCTTTTCAGTCTTGACAAAAAGGCATTCCATCCACACACATGCTTTCCAGTGGCCCCTTAAAGCTTTTGAACACCCGTTGAAGTTCATTTGCAACCAAACTCTTCCAGCTCTGCCTTGTGCACAGAGATAAGCAGAAGTCAGAATTCTGAAAAGATAACTTTTCAGGACAAATTTAGACTGCTTTCCTTTCCTAGTGGGGATAGTGGAGTGGGAGGACATTTTGGCATGTAAATCCCATACATAAATTTTGGCAGTAGGGGTGCTGGGGTCTGCCAGCTGTGAGGGATTAAATACTTCTTTTGACTGTTGATTATTAAAGCCAGTGTATGGTCTGCTTTGTGGGAAGCAGTCTAGACTAAGTAGAGAGTGATGCTGCACTGAGAATAACAATGCAGGAGGAGCAGATGAGACAGCTAAAACAGAGAAATCATCTCCTCAGAAAGTCCATTGAATTGAGTAGTGCTAAAAGACTGGAGATTTAGGCTGGACAATTTGGGTTTAGAAACAATCATTGAGATTACTGCTTCCCAGCATTTGGCTTCTGCATCATGACCTCTGACCAGTTAAGTTTCAGATAGAAAAAACATACCAATCCTTAAATTGTTAATTTTTTCCCCACGTTATGTTTTCTGTTTGGAAGTTGAACAGTACCATGTTGTCTTTACTGCTTCTTCCAGCCTTAGAGAATGTTTTTTATTGTTGTTCTTTTGGGTCTCATTTCTATATTGCTCTCTGAGTAAAAGAGTGGCAAGTGGCAGAGTGTCAGCTCCCCTTTGTCCCTTGATCTTACCACATTCCCTTTTACCTTCTCGAGGCAGTGATTCAGGATATTACCTGTAGTGAATGAGAGGGAGAGTATGTGCTAAGCTAAAGTTCTGAGGTAGAACTTTTTTCTTTTTTTGTCTGGTATTACTCCATCACTGTGGTTAGAAGTGCAGCCAGTCACTTCTTGAGTTTCACTGCTGCTCCAGATCTAGACTTAACACATAGAATGGCCAGCTTAGATTTGCATCTTCAGCTTTCCATGAGCTCCCAGTGCCAGAACCAGGATGGGCTTCTAAATGTGGCCTTACATTGGCATAGTAAATGAATGACTTTTTGCATTTGGAAAGTGTTTTCTGTAAGGGAGACCTAACAGTGGAAAATGCAGTTAAATGTTGTGGTGGGTTGACCATGGCTGTCATATACACTGCTACTCTGTTGCTTGCTCAGGATGGGAGAGAGCAGTGAAAGGACAAAAATACTGATCTAAGTGCAGTTATAAGCAAATAAGGAAAAAAAACAAAACAAAACAAAAACAAAGGCAATTTACCAGCAGATCAATGCCCAGCCAATCTCCAAGCATCAGCTGCTTGTGAACTACACCCACCCCAGTCTGATTGCTGAGTGTTACATTACATGGTGTGGAATATTTCTTCAGTCTGTTCAGGTCAGCTGTCCTGGCTGTGTGTCCTCTCATCCTTTTGCCTAACCCCAGACGACTGCGGGGGTCATAGAGTGGAAAATAGAGAAGGCCTTGACCCTGTGCAAGCGCTGCTCAGTAGCAGGTAAAGCTTTGTGTTAGCAGCACTGTTGCAGATCTAAAACATAGCATCTTTCAGGTTGCTGACCGTCCAGTCTAACCCAGTACACAGGCCCACCTACCCAGCAATTAATCCAAGACTTGCTCCCTGCATTTCTGTACAGCATCTTCTCAGGGTGGTTACTTCTTTTCTAAAAGGGCTTTTTTTGCAGCAGGCAATTAGCCTGCTCCACAGTGCTCCCTTTCATGGAGGGAGCAGGGGATGTTAGCTCTTACTCTTTCAGCACATAATGGGGATATAAAGCAAAAATGAGCCCTTTCTGTATCAGTGTTCTGGCAATTGAGCAGCCAGTGTTGGAAACAATATACTTAATGTGCCCTCAGGGCATACACTTTAGTGGTTTGCTCTTGAGTGGTTATGATGTATTCTATGAATGTATGTTATGGAGTCAGAATAAAATGCATGTAGCAGACATATACTCATCACCATCTAGTGAGCATTTAGTTCAGAGTGCATATTACATGCTATATTGAATATGGCACAGTCGTTTTAAGAAACAGTTTTAAGATTTATAAGTAGATACCTTACAGCATTCCCGTTTTTAAAATCATGGCTTGGCCTGTGCAGATACCATTTACTAAATCTAACTATCACTAGCCCATTGTTTCCTGAACAGCTTGTGTCACATTATCAACACAGAAATTCTATTTCATCTTTGTGAAAAAAACAAAAAGACAACAAAACAACCCTTGTGTTTCCCAACACAAAACCCAGCAGGCTTATCTGAAGCATTTCTTACCCTCAGCTTCTTTGTTGGGATGATGAAAGTTTACTTTAAATATTTCATTTTCAAATGCTCTTCCAACTATTTAGTCTCTGCTGTTATTTCCACCATGTAACAAGATTATGGAGACTAGTAAATCTGTATTTCTTGTGTTCTGTAGCAAATACTGTTTTCAAGGTATTTTTTTCTTTTATATTTAAAGACATGAGAGAAAAGATGAAACTCATCTCCTGTGATGAGGGTTATGTATAAAAGGCAAAATTTCTGGTCTGGGATGGAGCTGTGATGAGTCTTGCAATCTGATACAATCAAGCCAAAGCTCCTCAGAGACCAGGATTATGAAAATATTTCTAAAGAGAACTGATAGCATGAATTGATCTGAAAATACCCATTTGAGGGTTAAATTATCTGGCATTCATTGGAAAGACATCTGTTAAAATGAAACTAGCAGAAAACCAGCAAATGCCTATCAGATTCTACTCCCCTGTCTTACTGAGTTCAAGTCATCATATTTATATGATGACCAGAATTGGTGTTATAAGCATTTGGTACTTCTCTACAGAAACTCCCTTTAGAACCAAGGTTCCAAGAATTCAGAGTAAAAGTACCAGCTGACTTTAACAGAACTAGCCTAATTTCAGTTATGTTAAAGACAGCTATGGCCTCTCTAAGTATGTGATTTATAAGCAGATACCTAACAGCATTCCTGTTTTATGCTGGCAGCATAGGTGGATACCATTCCTTAAGTGTACCACCTCTCCTCTTTGGGTTAGTGGGAATTAGGGGCAGTTTATTTCAAAAAGTTATGGTGAAATTAGGAAACTGACTAGTTTTGAAACCCAGCAGAAGTTGTGCACTGACTGGAGTTCCTGCTATAAACATGTTTTTTAACTCAAATACCATGTGTCCTCCATGCAGGTATTAGTTGGGTCCCTCCCTGCTGCTCAGACTGAAAGAGGAGAGTATCTCTCATTTGAAAAACAGCAGCACCAACAATCTTATAATGTCTCCCAGGGGAGTGAGGGAAGAAAAAACAGAAAGGTGGTTTTATTTCTAATGTAGGACAGAAAAGGTGCCAGAAGTTAGGTGGAGCCGTGGAGAGCAGATAAAAAATATTCCACAGGATCTTCACAGTAGTTAAGAAAATTCACATTCCAATTCAGACATTTCACAGCAACATCTCCCGTGTCCCACTTTAATTTTACTCTGGAGCTCTTCAGAGCAAAATGAAAGTGGAATACTATCCCTATAGAAAATAATTATTTCTATATAATGAATTGTGTTGCTGATTACAGAAACTACTGTAAGGAAAAAGGAAAATCTTCTGAACAGATTTTAAAGGCTTGACAGTACTTGCATTGTCATAGTCCATCAAAGCTTCATCTGGAAACGAATTTTTCATCCTCCTTTACTCATACTCTAACAGGGCAATCAAACCCCTGGACTGGCTTAGTGATTTACATTGAATCAAGATCAACTAACAAGTGCTCCTTTTTCCAGTGGAATGCCACCTCCTTTGAGAATGGGAAAAGTAAATGTGACACTGTTCATTGTTGTCTTGAGAACTTAAACTATTTTATACTGCAAGCTGTGAATGCAGGAAGAGAAAAGAAATTAACAGTGCTGATCTAATCTTAGATTTTCTGTGTAAACTGACATTGTGCCAGGATACTGATGCAAAACTGTATTTTAGTCTAAGAAATGTATAGATTTTTTAATGTATCAAAATAAAGTTTTCCTTTTAAGTAAGAAAGAAATTTCTGTATCATCCATGTGGTGTGTGTAAGCCATGCTCTCTTACTCCATACAATACAATCTCATGTTCCTGAGAAGCAAGTCAAATTTTTGCTGAAGTTTTACTTTGTTCTGTGCCTGCTCTTTAGCTGAGTAGCTGTAGTTATACTGGACATACTGTCCTGGTGCCAAGAAAAGCATTCTGATGGTAATGTTTTCTGAGATGAGCGTATTAATGGCGTTTGGTAGAGGAAAGGCAGGATATTTTTGCTGTCTTTCTTCTCATTGATCCTCTCACATCTCTGCTTCTCAGCTTCCCTCCAGAGTCTTGGAAACTGCCCCTTTAGGCTAATGGTTACACCCATCACCACAGTCCTCAGCCTCTCTGGTAGGCTACAGGGTGTGCTGAAGTCTGTCACATACAGAAGCAGTTGGAAAGTTCTTCACTGTGAAAGGGGAGGTTGTGGTCACACATGCAGAAGAGTCCTTGCTCATACCCAGGAAGCAGGACTCTCAGGGCTCATAAGGCTATCTGGAGCATGCTGGTTCATAAGATGCTTTGCCTTACCAGGACCACTGTTGGGCAGTGAACAGTAGGGAGACATGAAGGAGATCTTGCTTTGCATTATGAGCCATGCAAGCTGCATATCCCAGCACAGCACCTCTTGTGGCACCATCACCTTGTTCCTCAAGGACCTGTACATATCCCCACTCTGCACAGCTGTTCTAACAGCTTGGATGTCTAAAGATAGATGGTGAGTAGACTCAATAACAGAGGCACATACAGTCACAAAGATTTCTTCCCCTCTCCTCGCTGTCCCATAGCACAGCATATTTCTGCTTCTTGCTGACAGGTTTTTTTTAACACTAATACTCTAATGCACTAGTAGCAAAGCCAAACCGTGTCTTCTGCTTCTGTTTTTCTTTACTGCAAACCACTTCAGCACTGTATTTGCCTGAGATAGTTTACTTTATCTGGAAACTCCTGCTGCTTCTGAAATGGAGATTGATGCTGTTGTGCCCATCAGTCATCATCATCATCAGTCCATCAGGAGGAAAAGGATCAGACAGCCCATCAAGCAGGACCTCTGCACACAGGCAGGGTCCATGCTGTGGACCCAGACTGTTCTGCTGCATGTCAGTGTTCTGCAGTTCCACTGAAGGTACGTGCCCTTGGCTCAGAGTGTCTATTTCACGGTTTATTAACAGTGAAGGTGCAAGGCTAGATGGGATTAGCTGCACGGAGAAAAAGAGGCTCCAGAGATATCAGTCATCAGCAGAGGTGTTAGGGGCAGGAGGCATGAGACATAAAGGTTGTATAAACCCTGTCTGGTTTCCACCAGGCATGTGTATTTTGCCTATGTCAGAGCTGCAGAACAGGAGCTCTTTAGCTTTATTTATACTCTTTAGCAGTGAGGGATTGAAGCACTGTCTGCAGAGATCAGTGCTCTGAAACAAGAGTTTCATGATGTCTAGGAGAAAAAAAACCAGGCACCTAAAGGTGGGCTGCAGAAGGCTAGTGAGAGAACCATATGCAGGGAGAACAGAATGGGACATGGGACTTGCAAGGTAAATTTCAGGGTACTGTGGTGCATTGTGGAAGAAAACCCTGCTCTCCTGCTGTTAGCAGGGATCTGGAGACAGAGGACTGGAGCTGTAGAAGCAGGATTTTTCCTTCAACCACACAGCAGTTCACACTGGCAAGACATTATTCATATGGTGGGCATGTATCTCTGACCACTTACCCTTGGGTCTCAGCCCCTGACATTGGCAATTGCAGAACAGCACAGGCAGCTGCCTTCTCACATCCCCACTCCCTGAAAAGCCCTGCTGTCCCACTGGAGATGAAGGACTAGTCTTCTTGCTAGCAACACAGCACATGTCCTTGGCTGCTGAAGGAGCTCTCCTGCCATGTGTAGAGGATGTGACCCTCTGTATGCAGCATTTGGTGTGCAGCAAATGGACTTATTCTCCAAGGCAGGGAGCTCAGATCCTGTGCTTCTGGGGTCTGGAATCACTCCTTCCTTCCACTCTGGGCCACTGACCCAGTTTTAGTCACTGGTATTTAGATGTTAGTTTAATGAAGATTATCTAGCGCCCAGGTAGTGATTATTTAGAATTTCTAATTACTGTTAAATTATGAATGTGTGAAATGGATGGAGCTTGCACTCCCACACACAGAAAACCTAAAAAGGCTGGTTTTCTGACAACTACTGCCATCATCTTCATCTAGTGCTTATTCTTGTTTACCTTAAATATGCTAAAAATAAAGTGAAAGAAATCCAACACCAGAGCAGATTTTGTGAGACCCTTACCAGGGCAGTCAAAGCTAGAAATAAAGCCTATGAGAGAAGCTATTGAATTTCTGTATCTCACTACCTCACCTGACAGTAATCAAGTGGGAGACCAATGAGTGAGCAGGTATTTCACACTGGAGTCCTCTGAAGAAGAAATTACAGACTTGAACCCTGTGCCCTAGGAAAAAAAAAAGTCTGCCACCATCCCATAAATAGTGATGTCTTCTGTTTTTAATTGCTTTTCTGTTAGCTCTTGTATTCTAGTTTTAAATATTAAGTCCTGAATACAAACCTTGGACAAAAAATATTTGCTAGGCATTGGCAATGCCAGATGAGGCACGGTGGTCTGGCCACTTCTCCATGTCCCCCCATCTCTGCTTAGAGAGGAGAGGTTTGACTCAAATATTTGGACACCTGCCTGTGGCCAACACACTGCTTATCCACCAAAGACCTCCCCCTCTGTCACCTGGGACATCTCACTTTCTGTCTCTGTGCCTCCCTTTCCTCAAAGATGGGGATGCAATGAAGGCTGAGTACATTAAAGATCAGTCAGTACTCAGATACGGCAGGAGGACAAATGAATGAAATAGGAACAGGTAAGGCTGTGTGTGAAACTGGGATCTAAAAATGCCTCTGCAGCTGCAAGAGGCAATTAATTGGGTGGAATTTGTATCCTATGCAAGGGAAATGATACAGACATGAACAGACTCATTGCTCAGACTCATTGCTCTTCTGATAGTTAAAATATCTGAACACTTAATTCTCCATTAGAAAATCCCCTCCAGTCTTTTAGTGGGTCTTGATATTTCACTGTGCCTGCTTTTTGCCAGAAGAAAAATCCACGTGTTGGAAGGTGTGCTGAGTGTCTTTCAAATCTCTTAAAATTGCACTGCCCCTAGTAACAACAACAAACCTAACTTTAGTACCTAATGTTGAACATTGCTGAATGAAGTAAAGGGATTTCAAAGCATGAGTTTGCTGCCTGTTCTGAAAGGTTGGGTAGGAGGTCTGCAGAGTTCTTCCTTCTTATGGGCACAGAAGCCCTACTGCTCCAGGCAAGGAGCATGATGGCTTGCTTTTGAAAGCTGTGGTGTTGTATCTGTGCATTATGGGACAACACAAGGACAAGAAAACCTCAGAACGGTCTGTATTTCCTTGCAGCAGGAGACCAGCCTGCCAGAAGAGCATGTGAGGTTCATGCTGTTTATGATGAAGATGAAGCTTGACAGCTTTATAAAAATGTAATTTGCTCCCCAAAAAAGCCAGCATAAGCACTTGCAGGTCTGAATTTCCCAGAAGATGAACAGCTTGAAAAGCTGTTAAGCTTCTTTAAGAAATAATAAGGAATCAAAGCTTGAATGAAGAGTGTAGGAGAACTAGACACAAGCCTGAATTTCTGTTCACTTCATTGTGTTCATGCGGCAGGGCCCCCTACCTTTCCATAATCACCATCTGAATTTACTTTAAGAACAGCACATAACAAGGCAATTAAGGTTTTGAGCCATAAGGGGAAACTCTTGTTTGAATTAAGCTAAACGTTTATATACATGGCCACAAGCTGGGGTTGGGCTCCAGAAGGGCTGCAGCCATGACACGGTGAAGGAAGTGGGAGGAAGGAGGGAATGAACTGATGACCTGCCAAGCCAGAGGCATGACATCAATTGGGGTAAGTCCCAGCAATGGCAAAGCCTCGCTTGTTGTCTGGGCTGCTGTGGAGCAGCTTTGTATTTCAACCTTGTAGCTCTACCCACCCCCACTGTGGCCCCTGCAGATGTTTTCCAGCTAACCTTTCTGGAGGGATGAGGCTAGAACAGCCGTAAGTAGAGAAAAGGCAGTGGAAAAAGCAAATATGAAAAGAGCAATTAGTAGTAAATGAGGTGCCAGATCTCAGAGACCCTTCTCAGAGGTGGGCCTCTGGAAAGCTCAGAGGGAATCCAAGAGCATTATCTGTGCCATGTTTACTGGAGTGAGGGACAGTGGAGTGTTTCTTTGCAGGATATTTGTGCTTGCCTTTACCAATTACAACTGCTGGACATGACATTAAAAAAAT